GGGCCCCCCCCCGCGAGTACTGCATCCTAAACACAAAAGCAAACACACAAACACGTCGCAAAATGACGTCTTCTAACGGACAAAGTGGCCTCCCTCCCAACATACATAATATACATACATACATACATACATACATACACGTCACAGCCACGTCAGCGCCACGTTACCCCCCATGGAATGGTCCGAAGGCCGGTACCCACAGAATACATCCACACACAACCCACCTCCCATAACCCACTCGCGCGTCCGCACCTTTGTTGCTCTGCCCCGCAATTCCAGCCACGTGGGGCAGGTGGGCATTCCACATCCTGGCAAAGGACGGCGAGCGGCGTGTGTCATTATGTGTGTATGTGTATTGCGCGCGCGCGTGTGTGTATTGCGTGTGCGTGTGTTATCAAATAGAAGGGGGAGGAGATAGAGGGGCTGTGATGGAGGCGCTGTGGGCGTGAGCGGGGCGGCAATCACCGGGCGAGTGAGGCGGAACGGGGGATGGGGGGGGGGACAAATACACACATGGCTAGTCAGGACGGTAAGGGATGCCACACGGGAAATCAGGTAATGGAATTCCACTCTTTTCACTCCGTACCACTGCTTTCAGTTCCGGGCAAGTTAGGATCTTGTCCTCCTCCTCCCCGCCCCCCCTTACCAGCTGCTTCCCTCGCACCCCTACCCCATGATCCCGCAGGGCGAGGACACCTGCACATGCCCCGTCGTACAACCGCCGTTTACCTGCACGCCATGCGGTTGGGAAACAAATCTCCCACTACCAGTCCCTGTACGACGGGGCATATTCCACCATGAGCAGGACCCAAATGGGTCGAGGTGATTGAGTCAAGGCAAAAATAAAAACGGCCGTGTCCAACAGAAGAGAATACGGCGGTCATAAGACCTAGGCGGATATAGACGTGGCTCTCTGTCTCATCACTTCTCCCCCCCCTTGCTCCCGGACGAGGGAAGGGAGGGGGATGGGTTGCCGGGGGCTTGCCGCTAGATAGTTACAAACACACACACACACACACTCACACACACACACGCACGCGCTCAGACACAAACCCTGTAGTAATATTGAGCAAGTTCCTAAAAATGGCCATGTGCACATCACCACCACCACCGCAGTCGTGGCTCCCCTCTTCCGTCCCAAAATCCCATTCCGCCACCAACACCACAGACACACCACCAACCGAACCGTCCACAACAGCTGCTATAGCAGTGCCCCTGCCACCAACACCCCTAGCCGCCCTCACAACCCACCCACCAACCACCAATCCGCCCAGAGCTTCACGCCCCAGAGCTTCCACGCTGTTCACTCACCCGATTCCGACGGGGATCGAACTCGGGACCTATCGGACCAAAGTGATCCGGGGGGCAAGTCATCTTGAGGCTGCCGCTGCAAGCGTTGGCCAAACCATTCCTGCATACACCCGCCGCGTGCAACACACATACATACATGTATCGAGTACAAATGCATGAAACAACACATGCATGCATGCTAGCATTTACATTTGCTGCTCAGCTGTGTGTGTGTGTGTGCGTGTCTCGGTGTGCCTCACATGTCCGGTGTGTCCGTCAGGGACACCCTCCCTGCCTCCCGCCCTTCCGAGCATCAAGAGGGGGGAGGGCTCCGCTACCCTTCAGTCAACCACATCGCCAAGTGCCGCAGCCGCAGCCGCCGCCGCCAAGGGAAACAGTTCCTCCCCCCCGGCGCCCCGTGGTGCGTCAACAGGAAAAATCAACAGCCAACAGCAAATCTACCAAGTCATCTACCAAATCGACCTCTCGACAATATAAAAAGCACTCCTTGCCTTGTGTGCACCTGGCTGCACCGTCCGATGATGATGAATTCACCGCCACACAACACTCAACACTCAACCCAGACCTACCTACTCGCCGATCGCAATCCGACCCGATCTGATTGCCCACCACCCGCAACCCCCCCTACCTGACAGCTCGCGAGGTGGTGAACGCCTCCTCGGGTCGCTGTTCTCCCTCCTCCTCCCCGTCACCCTCCGGCTCCTCGCGATGTACCCGGGCCGTGACCACCGCACTGCCCCCCAGGGACCGAGCCAACAGCATACGGAGATGGGAAACAAACGCCGTGTTGATCCTGTTTCAATGTTATTAGGGCCAGAGGGAGGAGGAGGAAGAAGAAGAAAGGGAGTGGCGCCGATGGGGGAGGAAAAGGATTATATCGTACGTGAGATAAAGGAGATTGCCATACACGGGCATCAAAGGGTCGATTGCCGAGGAGTGAGCGGAGGGTTTGGCAGGAAGAACAGGGGCGTGTGAAGGGCACCGGGAGGAGGTGCGAGAGAGGGAGGTGCGAGACAGGATTCCGGCAGGCAGGACTTGCAGGCAGCAACGATGTGGAGTTGTTTAATTTGTTTGGGCAGGTGACGAGGGGGGCGGGGGAAGGACAGGGACCAGGCGCGTCGTGGCCGGGTGCGTCCAAGGGTAAGCTCTACCCACCGCGCCGACCCACATACCTCCCCCCTCCCTGGACAGGATAGCAGCAGATGCCCCACCTTCTTCATCTTGCCCTCCAGCCCACACTTACACAGCCAAAATGCACCCGCCTAACCCACTGCAAGCGGCCGTAAGGTAAGGGCTCACCTTGCACCGTCGATGAAAGCTGGCTTTATGGTTGTACGGCAGTACGGGCACCTCCGGAGGGTCGTTTCCAGCTTCCGGATGCTCTTGAGGCAGCTCAAGCACATGTTGTGTTGACATGGGAGCTACGAGGGAGATCGTGGTGCGAGGGGAAGTGGACAGTACGGACGGTGATGCTATTGATCTATGGTGAAGGCGTGTGTGGGTAACTTTTCGGTAAAGAATTTTGGAGGAAGTGTAGGAAAGGGACGGGATGTTGGGAAGAAGAAGAAGAAGAAGAAGAAGAAGAGAGACGGAATCCACGGCAGCAGGCGAAATTGAGTGCGCGACACGAGGGAGCGATGCAACACGGGTGATGCTCTCCGGTCGCATGTTGGGGATTGAAAAGGTGGAAGCATTATTCACGTGTATTGGGGGAAAGCTTATCGGCATGCGGTGTCAGCTGGGGTTTGAAAGCAGCAACCGCGAGGGCAAGAGCACATGGCGAAATGGCGGTGCTCGCGCGATGAGGGTGTTCAAGGCCCAAACTGGTAAAGTATCGCTTACCGTAACTGGCTTGTCGACGATGGAAGTACAGATTCCGCACGTCACACTGTCCCGTTCGGCATCGGTGAGTTTGCCCAGCGGGTCTACGACAAAATGCCAAAGCAAGCAGGAGGGGAAGGCAGACTAAGACACAACTGCTGCAGATGGGGGTCCGATTTTCCCCATCAATGCGAAACGGATAGTCACGGTGGAGCATTGGGGAAAGATACACGTGGAGGCGTCCAAGCGCAATGCCGGCGCCAACACGCACCTTCTCGAGGCACCACCTGAGCGAGCCATTGGCTAGCCCCATGGAGCGCTTGAATGCGCTTTCCCTTTTCCTCGTCCGTCAGAGTTGAGTCCCGCTGAATCTCCAAAATTTTGGCGCGTTTAGCGCGCTGTTCTTCCCCCTCCCCAGCCTTTGCAGGTGATATGGGAGCCATTCAGTTGAACGTCTTTGAATTCACGATGCCCTACAGCTGGTCATAGCTTTTCAAGCAGTTCGCAGTTCCTGTTGTGAGGTGCACGCTTGACTGTATAATTTAAATTTGATCACACCTTTAATTCCACGTATACTGTTCTAAGTGACAACATTCGCCAATATTCGCCAATGTTTATTTCGGGCTGCCGGTTTAGTGACGTGACCGTTGACGTACAACGCTGAACAGTAAAAGCGTCGCGCACCGTTCACGTGAGGCGATCCTATTTACTAAAGTTGCACAACCAAATGATTTATTTCGATGGCAAGTCCAGGCGACATGCTCGCTCCGGTACACCAGCAGGCAGCAGGCAGTAGCAAGCATGCCGCAGAAAACCACATGGCTTGCGGTTCCAGAACATATAGCCGATCACATTCCAGAGATGGCTTCGCCATACCCGTCAGGGTTGTCTTTGCTACATTTCTGTCTCGATGCGTCGGATGTAGAGACCAGCTGTTCCAACGGTCAGCTACAGCAATAGCATTAACGTTGACATTAACGAGTCTGCAGCATGCGCTTGCTTTAGGATGCTTAGCAATTGTCAAGCAGTGCAATGGATTCCTGGAATATATGGTAGCTTTAATGATCGCAAATGCCTTACAAGCTGCAAGCCATGGAGCCTGACAGCTGACTTTTCCTGACTGCTTGGGGTTAATGCGAAACACATTGAGCCACCAGGGTGTAGCGTAATTGCTTGCGGCCTTCTGCTTGGCCAGTTGTGCTTGGCCTTGCGCGGATAAGAATGCGTACTTGGCTTTTGCACATGCGTTCGTCCTTCTCCTTGTCCTCATGTCTTAGTTACTAGCTTCAGCTACGATGACCTTACGGTTCATTGCTTTGGGTGTTTTTACTTATCGCTTGTTTTTTATTTACTTGCTTGCGTCCATATGTCAGCCTTAGGGTTTGTAGTTGCTCTTGTGAGATTGTGTTGCTGCATGTTAGTAATGCGCGTTTATTGGAGAGGACTTGAACTGCGGCGCTGACGCTTCCCGCCTCGCATGGCAAGTTGACTTTCTGGACACATGTGACGTTATGCCCAGGCACCTGCTAGGCTGATCCCTGCAAAGTCCAAAACGGGATAACAACGCCTTCTGCAAGCTCTCTTGTACGCGGGGCGACTATCCTGATTGCACCGCGTAACGTGCAGCACATTTACGGCTGTCGGCTGGCCAAATGTCAAAGAGAGTAAGTTGTTCATGGAACCTGAAATTTGCCTTTCTACCGTTTGAAGGAGTAGAACTGAGCTGAACTTATAGCTTTATCCATTTTTATCGAAAATTGACCGTACCGTTATAAGTCCTTGCTTCGTAACCATGACCTGGCACATGCGCCGTTTCGTCTGACCGGTAGATGCATTTGGTCCAGCAAGGCGGCGGTAACGCTGACTTGGCACTGCAACTTGCGCGGCATCAGTGCCTCGCTAGGGCGCGCAAGATTCGAATCAGCATGCGGCGACGCCAGCTTTCTCCAAACTGCTTACCCCCAGGCGGAATTTGTAACAAAGTTTTCCCATCTTAAAGATGTGACGCCTGACCGGTTACCATTCCAGCCTGCGCTCTTCCAGCTTCCGCCCAATGAACCCCTAAGCACATACAGTACGTTATTATGTACAATATTTGGTCTGTTAGGAAATCTAAACGTTCATAATACTGGTCAACATGTTTATAAAGGTACGCAATCAGTCCTCGCGGGCGCACGTTTTGCACCGGAACCAGCGTCAAGAAGTGCAAACGTTCAGGGTCCTAACTCAAAAGCCATGAGGTTATGAAGTGCACATGCCCACGGTCTTAACGGCATGCAATACACCAATCTATGATATAAAAATGTATATGCTGTTGCTGACGACTTCGCACATCAAGCAGTCTGCTCGGGCCGAAACCCTATCGATGGTTCTGGAAACCACACCCTTAATTATACGAGCGGACACCAAAGCTCCGCGACCAGCATCCACCCGAAATAACGCCCTGCTTATGCAAGCAGAAGCCTTCACAGCTGCAAATCGCCTTCACTTTTCCCACCACAGCCACAAGCGCAGAAAGCACGGAGCTCCGGATGCAAACAAATGCAGAGCGGGGTACCAGAACTTGAGAATCGCCGCCGATTCCCTAGGCGCACGTCAGACAAAACACATAATTATGCGTCAAAGCTCTCACGCGCCCACACTATTTATGCAAGTCACCATTCACTTTCACGCATAACCTGGAGCTGGGACCGCTATCCACTGTGCTGCGAGCCCACACCCACACTCACACCTTACCCAAAGAACTCAATTCATTTCATCAAAGTCAATAAACCCGCCCTCATCGGATCATGTTCCGAGAGAGCATTAGTCTGGTCCACTGTTGCAAGAAGAGGGCGCAAAGGAGATGATTTAACAACACCTCTCTCCCCAAGGCAACAACATAGGACCGCATGTACCGCACGCGTGCAAAACAGTGTTGTTATAACTTTACCCAACGGGTTTCACCCAACGTAACGTGGACTCGTTAAAAACGCGTGCATATCCCGCCCGGGACTTACCGGCTGAGTGCAGCCCGACTTGTCCTGTAGTGAGAGCAACGCGGCAGCTGCCAGCCAAAGTTCCCGCAAACAACAAGACCCAAAAAATCATGAAGTCTTTGTTATCGAAAAAACCACCTATCCTTGCCAAACACATCCACGGAACAAGGAACACGGAACAACAGCCTTACTCGACAGCGGCGACCAAAGTCACGTATGTAGGTTAGCACCCCGATTAAACCACGCCACTGCCCGGCTCAAGTCTGTATGCCATTGCCCCAAACAAGAGGCATCAAGTTTTGTTCCCAACCCCGATAAATTGTGTCCTTTGAAGTTCACCCCAAGCAGGATTATGAACATTACTAGCAAGCAAGTAATCAAGCAAATGCGTCCCCGCCTGAGGCGGGGTCCAAGCAAGGCAGGTCACGGCGCATCCGCGCATAGCCAAGTAAAGACTTGAGCATCGGTCGTCGAGTGGTTTGGAAAAGCAGCCGAACAGAAGCAACAGCGACCGGGGCAAGCGCAAAAGGACCGATGGTATGGTACCGCAGCGCACGATACGACGACTTCACTTCACATTGCATGCGGATGCTTCGTAAGCAGGCAACTTCACAGTAAGATCACACGCTCGCATTCCTATATCCAGTAGCAAGACGCTCCCCATTCGAAGATACGAGGCCGAAACAAGCCAGACATGGGGTACCCCAGCTCGTCGATCACACATCCTTCGCACGTACAGTAAATCACCGACTGAAACCACCAGGCCCTGCAGGCCCCCGAGCTCCCCCATCTAGCAGACCCCCGCTGCGGGGAGCTCCGTTACCGTACCGGCTCACGGTGCTAATGGGTAGACTGCCGCTGTTCTGCTGGCCCAGCGGACCCAACGCATCCGCATGCCCGCCCAAGCCCCCAAGCCCGCCACCGCCACCCAAACCCAGGCCTCCCCCGCCTGCGCCCGGCATGCTGAGGTTAAGCGTGGGCGCACCACCCTGCGGACCGCCCTTGCCGAATAATCCCGGACCGCCACCCAGGCCTCCAGCACCTAGCCCGCCGCCGCCCAGGCTGCCCGGCCCCACTAAACCGCCGCCACCGCCGCCCAGGCTACCCGCCCCTGCCAGCCCGCCCACAACCCCCAAGGACCCCGCGCCCTGTAGGCCCGGCCCAGGGCCGCCTCCCACCGCCATTCCTTTAGCTCCAGGGCCTGCCAGGCCGGGGCCTTGCCCGCCCATGAGGTCCGGGGAAAGGTTAGCAGCGGGATTGTGTCCCACGCCTGACGGCCCAACACCGTTATCCATCAGGCCGCCACCTTGCGCGAGGCCCCCCATGCCGGCAGGCATGTTGTGCTGCTGATTATAGACTGAAAGACCACCGCCGCCGGCAGCTGCTGCTTTAGCGGTGGCCATATCCCCAGCCACGCCTGGGCCGAGCATCTGCCCAGCAGCCTGGCGGGCCATTGCGGCCGCTTGCAGGCTTTGAAGCTCTTGTTTTACTGCCGCGGCGCTCATGCCACTTGCGCCGCCTGCATCACCGCCTCGCAATGCTGACCCATCCAATCCACTGCCGCCACCGTTACCACCGCCACCTCCCATCATGGACTGCAGCTCCGCCATCGCACCAAAAGGGTTCAACCGCTGCGCGCCCGCCGGATTGCCACCAGAGCTGAGGCCGCTCAGCCCGCCGGCCCCCAACCCGCCCCCACCTAAGCCGCCGCTTAGAGAACCACCTAAACCGGCTGCACCCAGGCCTCCCCCCGTGAGGTCTTGCTGCCCGCTCGGCTGCTGCTGCAACAGCGATAGTTTATCCGGTCCGGCGCCGCCACCACCGCCGCCAGAGCCGCCCCCGCCAAACTGCTGGTGCAGCAGCATGGCCTCCTGCATGGAAAGCATGCCGTTTCCGCCGCTGCCGGCACCACTGGGCCCCGCCGCGGCGGCGGCGGAGGGCCCGCCACCACCGCCACCCATTCCCATCATCATGTCCAGCGGGTCTGTGCTCCCCATCCTACAGCAGAACATTGCAGGCACCGGCGATAATCGGACAGGAGCCGTCTTGCTAAGAAGGCAGGACAGCCAAGAGCGGTTTCGCCTACTCAAGCAGAGATGGAGGCTTGCCAACAGAAAGCTACTCCCTTTTATTCCGCAAACCCTCGCTGCGACGTGCCGAAAGTGCTGAAATACGTCCTCCTAGGGCTTTCACCCAAGGTGTTTTTTTTGCGTCTCCGTGTTCGTTTGGGGTCCCCATCTGACCTTTCTGTACTTTACTTTTCCCTGGACCCCTCTCGTGTCCCATTCCTCCGCTCACCCGGCCTGCGCGTTGCCCATAGGGCCCATGTTCCCCACGTTGCTGCCGTCCTTTCCGAAGACCAACGCCAGCACATTCGACAGCGCCAGCACGTCACAGTGGTAAGGAAAAGCTTCAACTACGAACAATGCCGCTTGGACGGGAGAGAGCACCTGGTAAAGCACTTTAAGGAACAGCTCCATCACCGTCTTTTGTTCACGGAGGAGGGACTCCTGCGGGGGAAGAGGTTATAACGAAAGAGCAAGCATATGTAAAGTAAACAGCCCACAACGAATAGGGAAAGGGTAAGGACCAGGCATGAAGGGAAACCACGCGGCTACCGGTCAGAGCGTGACACCAGGTTGTATACACAGAAAAGGTTGGGGATCCTGGCGCTGCATAAAAGTGAACTAGGTCTCCCCGCGCGGGTCCAGAGGAGCCTGGATGACCGGGAATGACGCCACCTCGCTCGCAACGCTCCATCAACTGCTGGGGAGGAGCCCCGATAGCTGGCAGCCCAACCTTCAGCGACGCTTAAGGTTTGCTGCCTCTTTAAACCGTTGCTTAAATCCAATCTGTTTTCCTGCCGTCTTGCTTATTACCAGTAACCTTTCAGTTTATGTAAGCCAAGGGCGGCAATTGTTGCCTTCGGGCACAAATTTAGGTTTCGTACTGCTGCCGTGGGGACATCACAGGGGATACGAGTGCGGAGGAGGACACCAACGCACATTGTGCAATACAGTACAATACAGCAGCTATGGAAAGTTAAGGGTTGCTCTGTTGCCCGCAGCGGCAAGATCTAGCTTGGACTAGCAGGTTTCTTAGCTCTGCCGCTTTGCCGAATGTGCAGCTCTTCATGATCTCACATGCAGGCGGATCCGAGGCCACCACCTCAAACCCCCCTCCCTTTCGGCCACCACACACGCGAAACCTTTTCTTTACGCACGTATCCCGGTAATGAACTCTTTGTACCGGCTCAAATGAGCACCTCTGGACTGCCCTCTCCCCGAGGAACCCAGCACGTCATGACATTAGGAACTGTTACTGCTTATGTCCTCCATTCCAGTACGACCGTCGATCATGTATGTGCGGGAACCCACGCGGTCGACCGAGCTCCCTGCAATGTCCTACCTTGAACATATCCACGACACGCTGCAGCAGCAGTGCGTTGCGGGCAAAGTACAGGTATCCATGCTGAACAAGCACCGTCATGTTTGATACCTCATCCAACATCATGGGGTTAGAGCTGCACGCTGCTGCTGTTAGCTCCGCTGCCTGGCGTGCGATGGCCGCGCGCTCCTGCAGGAGCATCTGCATCTTGTGCACGTGCAACTCGCGTGCGTGCAGGATGGACAGGACCTGTAAGTTGGAGAGCTGCAGCTGTGCAATTACGTTGATCCAGTGACTTTTATCCAGCTCCCAATCCGTCGTGGTTGTATTGCTGTAGTCCTTGCTGATGGTTTCCAGCACGAAGGGGGTTTCGGGCTTTAGGATTTGGAGGCACACCTTGCTGATGGTGTGAACCAGGGCCTTAATGTCGGCGGTGACCTTTTCGGGCAGGTTTTTGCCTGGATTGGGCGACGCGATTGTGGGCAGCAGATAGGGTTATTGCGCAGCTTCCAACGCAATATCTAGCCGCAGGGTAAGGAAGGCAAGTGAGCTAGATGTGGCTCCAGCGTCACACGCACACGACAAGTGGCGACAGGCTGCAAGTCCCAAGAAACGTGTGCAACCGCCAGCATGCCCTTACAGGTGCTCGCAACCGCGAAAACCGTAACTTGCCATGCGTACCTGTTATGTCGTAGCTGGTCAGATTGGATATTACCAAGTAATCTTTCAGGGCTTGAACCGACGAGCAATAAGCCTGCTTCAATTCTTGCTCGGTGATGACAGACGCCGGCCCCGCCTGTGCGCTGGGCCCTGGAAGTTGCTCTGCAGCAGGGAATGTAATGTTTCAGTTTGTGTTCGCAACATGCAACACTTTACCCATTCCTGCAAAACTCACCGCCTTTCATCGCAAGCAATTGTTTGAGGCGCGCTAGTTCGTTGTCCTTCTCTTTTAACGCCATCTCATACTGAAGTGTGCGTTCGCTAACGGCGGCAAGCCTATTTTGTAGCTCCTGTGGTCCCTGGTTGGCACTGGGGCTCGTTGTGTTCGCCCCGTCCGCCATGTCGCCACGGTGCCGTTTCTGCCCCCGACCGCTGCTGCTAAGTAAAGAAGGAGATAGCAGTAAGACAAAGAGTCAGGCCCTCCTTTAGGGATTTTTGCAAATCGTTAGCTGTGTGCCCGCAAAAGATGGTGCAGTTATGTGCGTGCAAGTCGCAGCAGCCCGCACCAGGCTCCGGTTCCAGGGTGGAAAAAAGAACTACAACATCATGCGATGTTGCGCAACGCAAATAAGGCATCTTCCGTCACAAACAGCGCCGCGCAGGTCAACAACAGTCACGCCAAAACAAGCTGCAAAAAGAAGCCTGCAAAGCTAAGTCGATAAAATCGAACATCTTACTTGTCCTGACGTTCCTACTCGGCGCCAGCACCCCCCACCTTTACCCTATTGAGCTTACCTCGGCCGCTGCTGCCGCTGGCTCGGTTGCTGTTCTTGGGCCCACTTAGCGGCTGATGGACGGCTCCGATTGCTGGTCGTTGTTTGAGTGACCTCAGAGTCCGCTGCAGGCTCCTCCCCAGCCTGGGGCAACCCCAGCCGGGGCTGCGCCTGCACTCCACCACCCGGGTCTTTGCTGCTGTTGTTCTGGTCCGTTGTAGTCGTGTAGGAGAGGCCTGGAGGTCTAAGTGATGCGTGCTCAGAGGCTGGGTCACTGAGCATCTCGAAGAGCAAGGCCTAGGCCCATCGCCGGTCTCTACCGGCATACACTAATGTACTGACATAGATCAAATTTTAGATATACGTTTTACTTTATGGAATCCAGGGCTTGTTTACAGTGATAAATGCTTGCAGTTGCGCAGTTACAAATGAAGGGATTGTGGAAATGTACTATGTAGCGTAAGAAGATAATAGCTATGGAATACAGTACATGTAGCAACACAAGTCGTATGCAGTCAAATGAGATGACGGGGTACACGACGGACGCCAAATGCGCGATTTGGCGGCGTTTATGTGCAAAGCCCTAGAACATTAAGCCCAATAGACATATAGATGATAATATGGATAATATTTTTGAAATGCCCTTCAAGCTGACTCGAACCTGTTTGGGGGCTATGTGGTCCTACGCAGTCTATCTTGTTTGAGATTGCAGATACTGCAGCCGGATTACAACAGATTAATCCCCGAAACGCGATTTCGGCTAGACGCTGTGTCGTCCGCGGGAGTTTGCGTGGCGTCGTGGCTGTGGGCAGCGCAGCGGAACTGCGCTGCCCAAAATAATTACTTCATATGGTACTGAGTTGCATTATTAATATTTCAGTGACAAGCGGAAGGGTTAGCTTCAAAGCTGTTTGGCCGTCCAGCTGCTTGCGGTGCTCTACCTTGCAGCCCATGTCCCAGCAGTAGCCATCGCCCCATCCCCACGCCAGCACAGGCTGTGCAAACGCGTGCCAGAGCGGTGGACACGCATCCCCTGGTTGGATCCCCGTATCGCCATCCCCCGGGCGTTTCACCTGCAACGCCAGGGCCTCGGCCATCATGGATCTTGACCTCGACGAACTAGACAAACAAAAGGCTCAGAAAGCACGTGCCTTCAAGCCGGCAGTGAAACCCGTTCCACGAGCGCGACCCTCCGCGCAGCAGGCGCCCAGCAGCGCTGCTGCTCCTTCCGCCAGCACTGCCGCCGCCGTCGCTCCCACATCCCCGGCCGCAACAGCAGCCCCCGTGAAGGAAGCCGTGAGGGTAAAGCCTCGCGCTGCGCAACAGCCCCCGGGCAGTGAGCCTACTGTCCCATCCACTCAAGCACCCCAGGCTCAACCCCAACCTGTGCCATTAGCTCCCTCGCCGCTTGGGGGGAGCCCGCAGCAGTCACAGCGTGACGCTGGAGTTCGAACCCAGACAGCGGCGGCAGCGGCGCCTGCGGTAGCGGCTAGCGGCGCGAGGGAAATGCTGCCAACCGCGCCACCGCAACATGGCCACTTCCACAGCAAGCTGGAAACTAAGCACCAGCCGCCTCCCGCACTGCCCCTGACTGAGCCTGACGTCATAGATCCTGGCCCCTCGCGACCAGCACCCGTGGTAGATTCCCGGACTGGGGCCGACGGCGCCTCATCCGCTGAGGCACCTCCGCACGCTGCCGCTCAAGCTGCCGCTGCTGCGGTTGCAACCACGGTGCCGGTGCAGCCATCGGCTCCATCGCCTGCTCCTGCCCAGTTCAGGGGTAAGGATCCTGCCGCCAGCCCTCCAGCTCATGCCGCTGGTGCTGCTGTCGCCGGTGCAGCCACTGCGCCCCCTGCAGCCGCCAACCCCCCGCCCCCTGCGTCAACCTCAGCACCCGCCGGCCCGTCATTCAGCAGCAACCCGCTGGATGACCTGCTGTCGCTGCCCTCTCAGCCGCGCCAAAGCAAGTTTGCGCCGTCCGCGCCAGGAGACCGTCGTACCCGCCAGGCTGGCGGCGGAGTCGGCAACAAGGCCGCTGTAGCGGCGGCGGAGCCGCCACAGCCGCAGGCTCCTGGCTTGAGTGCCGGCTCGGGCCCGCTGGATCCCGCGCACCTGCTACAGTCGCAGCTAGCCCCTTTAAGCCAACCTTCCCAACCAGTCCCAGCCGCTGTGCTAAGCCCGGGGTCACAGCCGGCATTACCGGCCACGCAGCTAGAAGGCAGCCAAGCCGCGGGGGTAGGTATGTCGGCAATGGCCGGCGGCGCAGCGACCGTGGAGGGCGGTCCTTCCCAGTGGCAACAGCAGCAGGAGGAGCAGACAGGGACATCAACAGCTGTGGAGGCCGGCACGATAGGTTATTCATCTGGCGGGGCACCCTCATCCCTACCAAGTGCACCAGCTTCTATATCTCAACCCGTGCCGCCGGCTGCTGCCCCTGCCTCGAAGCAGCCACAGCAACAAGCAGAATCCGGACGGGCTGTCGGTTCCGGAGCGCATGCGGCCAGGGCCATGGAACGATCCCAGCCAGCGCCCAGCGCTACGGATGCAGCCGCCGATACCACACGGGTAGCAGGCGGTTTAACAGCTCGGGAAGTAGCTGTGGAGGCGGGTGCGGCACCATCCGCGCCAGGGACTGGCGTTCCGGATGCAGCAGTTGCTAGAGCAGGGGCCGCCGCGCAGGCGGAGTCGAATGAGGATTTTGAGGTGCTGCTGGACGTCCCTGCTCCAGGGCTCCGGGCTGGAGAGCGCCCGGCGCCGGGGGCTGCACCTGTCGTGGCGCCGCAGCGGCGTGTAGATAGCGCGATTCGAACCCGGGGAGCAAGTCAACAGCGACAGCCCGCGACAACGGACCCGGCCCCTGCCGCCGCTGTGCCTGCTCCGCCACCCTCCGCCGCTGCGCCGGAGTTGACTTCTGGTCCCCCATCCGCTACTGATCCTGTGGCGGCGGCTGCGGGGTCGCGGGGTGGTAGGGCGGCAGGAAAACGTGTCTCTTTTGCGGTAACGGTCGCAGAGCCATTCGTTGATGCGGAGGCGGCCCAGCCGGCATCGCAACAGCTGGCGTCTTCGTCATCAGCAGCGGCAGATATCGGTCGCCGTGGTGGCGATGGCAGTGCTAGCGGCGGTCCAGACACATCCTTAGCAGCAAGTAGTGCCCTTGCTGCAGCCCCCGCTGCCACTCCCGCTGCTACGGCTGCTACTGCAGAGCCGGTTGCGCGTTTCCTGGCCGCCGGTTTCGGAGCTGCGGATCTGGACTCCCTGCCAAAGCAGCAGCGCAGGGCGGCACCCGTGGTTGCATCGAGGAGACGGGGCGCTGCTGCCGCCGGCTCTTCCGGCCCCGCCAAGGCAGCAGCGCCAGCAGCGCCAGCAGCAGCAGCGTCAGGGGGCCCAGGTCTTCCAGCGTCACAACCCCCAGCAGGAGCGCCATCAGGCGGCGTATCTACCGAAGCCAGGCAGAATCAGCAGCCGCAACAGGAGCACCAGGTCCCGGACGGATTACTGACTTCAGGCCCTATCGCCGCTAGCGCCGTACTCGATTATGCACCAAGAGATCCCCGGCCGGGTGCTTTCCGGTCGCTTGCGGCGGCAGCTGCTGCTAGCCGTCCCGCAGCCGGCGTTACGGACGCAGCCGCCGCTGGCGCAGAGCAGGTACCGGATACACGGCCATCGGTTGCGGCGGCGGCCCCGGGAAATGCCGCAGGCGCGGGGGCCACCTCGGCTGTGGCAGAGGACCAGGCGGCGGCGGCAGCAGCAGCGGGGCCGGCGGCGGCACAAGCGGCGCCACCGGCTGCAACCACGGAGCCGCCGCCTGAGACAGGGTCACGGAAACCGCCGCGGCCAGCCGGAGGAGACACGGAAACACCTGCTTCCAAGAGACGGCGCAGTGCATTGAAGACGAAGGGGCCGGCGACTGCAGCGGCGGATGAGGCAGGGCCGCCATTAGCCGCCGCGTGCGAGCAGCACGGCGCCGCCGCCACCGCCGCTGTCGCTGGCCCAACCACAACCGCCACCGCGGCGACGACGACGACGGCGACGGCGACGGGAACAAAACGAACGCGGCTGCGAAGGGGGGCCACAGCGGCGGGTGCTGACGATGCCGACGGCGTTAACCCAGCCAAGACACTGGCGGACATTAGGCCGGCAGAGGTGAGGGTGGAAACGGAGGTGAGGGTGGAAACGGAAGCAGAGCGCGACGCCCAGCATGCAAAGGTGGGGGCAGTCCCGCCCCGGCGGCTCCGAACGAAAGCATCGAACAAGCGGGACAGGATGAGCGGCGGAGCTTCCGCCAAGGAGGCGGCAACGGTGGCGGAGGAGCCGCAGCTGCCGACTGCCGCGGAAGCCGTCGTCGCCGCCGGCAAGGCGGAGACCAGCGCCCGCCGAGTTCTCGAGCTGTTTCAGTCAGTGTCCACACCGACCGCAAAGAAAGGCGCCATGGCGTGGATGCGGCTACTGTCCACCCTGCGGGGCGAGATTGCTGTCCAGGTAAGGGGGCTCCTGCGCGTTGTTGTGTGTGTTGTTAGTTAATCTGAGCCTCGATGCGGGAAAATCGAGGTGTGTGTATTCGTGTGACCACCTTCCGGAAGGGAGTTAGTACCTCAGTAACCCATTTGGTCACTAGTAACCACTTTGAAACGCAGTAATCACTTTTAAACGCAGCGAGAGAGAGGGAAGGAGTGAGAGGGGGCCGGTATGGAAAACTGCTGCGGGGGGGGGAGCTGTGTGCTGTTGCAGACCTGATCTGTGTTGTCGGTCTAAGTGCGTCTTGGGATGATATTATACAGGGTGTGTGTGAAGAGGATGTTGGGATGAAATGCCGCGTCGCTCTGTGCCGCCGCGTGCCGGATCACGGGAGGTCTCTTTTGGTTGTGGAAGGGGCTCCTTTAGGGGTTGGGACGTGTTTTGCACTGCTGTGTGCCAGGACTCTGTGAACATGCTCCTGGTCCACATCGCCACATAGCATGTCGTCCGTCGTGATGAGGTCCTGGTATCAATCCCCGCTTCGTAGTTATTTTTCAAGGTAAGCTCCTTTGCTTTGTTAGACTTGTGTTGTGTCCATCTGCCGCGGTGTCCTTATCTGCCATCTCCATTCTCCCTGCGCGACTGGCGGCAACAGGCAGCTGGCGAGGCGGCGCAGGGGGGTGGGGAGGACGTGGGCATGGCGCTCATTCTCCACCCCGACCATGAAAACCTGGCGCAAGGCACTCGCAGCCGTCGACGCCGCCGCGCTGCAGCCGGCGGCACCGGCGACGGCGGCAGCCGCCGCCGCCGCCGCCGCGGCGGCGGCGGGGCCGACAGCGAGGGCCAGCAGGGCGGCGAGCTGACGGAAGCGGGCCCGCTTCGAAAGCGTCGGCGCCGGACGACGGCGAAGGCCGACGGCGACGCCGCCGCCGGTGCCATGAGCGTGCCGCCGCCGCGGAGCCAGGGCGGTCAGATGAAATCCAAGTACGCGGCGGCGGCGGCGGCGGCGCGAGAGGCACGGATGCGAAGGGAGCTCGAGGAGAAGGCCCTCAAGGAGGCCGGCTTGGCCATCATTGTAAGTACGACAACCGTGTCATAGGACAACGATACGAAAAAACCACCGGCGACGGCAACATGCTCGTGCCGCCGCAATCTCGTGCGTTGGACTCGTATGTTGGCGCCATAGCTGAGTACTGCCAAAACCCTAAAAAGGCGGTGCGGTGGGGAAGAAGACGAAGACCCGGCGGATGGACCGCCAAACGTATCCGGGTCCGCCTTCGTAAACCTGTGGCACAGTCATGCTGGGGCAGACGTGCGGGCAGACGTGCGGGCAGACGTGCGGGCAGACGTGCGGGCAGACGTGCTATCCCGCCGGAGGTGCAAATAGCGTACCCAGGGGTTTTGCCGCTGGAAGACGCGGCTTCGTTAGGGGAGGAGAAGAAGAGAAGACAGCTTAGGGAAGAGGAGAGCCCCTTCCTAGAGCCTTAGGGCCTTCTTGCATTTGTGGGAGCGCACCTGCCGGGCCCTCCCGAATCCCCCCTCCCCCCCCAACTTCGACCAGCAGAAGAGCCAAACCTCCCCCCATGCCCTCGCACATGTGCACATACACGCCGACAGAACCCCCCTTCGTAGCTCCTGCACCCTAGGTCCCCCCGAGCGTTGTTTTGGTACCCTGCCGGTCATCCTCGCCTTACGCACATCCTCACAACTCACTCCCTCAATCACCCACCCACCCAATCACCAACGAATGATTCCCTCGCAGCCCCTCCCCGAGGTGGACCCCAACGAGCCCCTGGATGTGGAGAACTGGTCGCTGCGAAAGATCATTGCGAGGACGCAGGTGAGGAAGGACTGACCCGTGGGTCGTGCCTTGTGCGTACATCCACGGACCCCAGCACGCGGTCGGGATCGATCCTGAAACCTTCCAGGGGCACAGCATTTGCGCGCTTTAAAAGACATCTGTTGTGTTCGGGACTGTGTGTACGTGTGTGTGTGTGTGTGTGTGTAACTGCAGGCCTGGGAGAAGGCCAAGATCGCCAAGGAGCGCGCAGCGGCAAAGGCAGCCGCTTTGGCGGCAGCCGAAGCGGGTGAGACAGACGGCGCGGAAGGCGCCGGGGGGCCTGCAACGCCAGCGCTGCCCGCCGCAGGTGCGGCGGGGGCGCGGAGCGCCGCCGCCGCCGCCGCCGCCGGCCCACGCGGCCGAGCTGGCGCCCGGCCGGCGGCCCCCCAGGTGCGCATCGTGGACGGGCAGTTGGTCGTTGACGCCGATACGTTGACGGTTGCGGCGCAGCAACAGGATGACGTGGCACAGTACGCTCGTGTGGAGGAGGACACCCGGTTTGTTACGTCATTCACGTACATGAAACGCCTGGGACCGGCGCGCTGGAGCGAGGCCGACACCGCGCTCTTTTACAGCGCCCTGGCGGCCTTCGGCACCGACTTTTCGCTCATCTGCATGTTGTTCCCGGAGATGCAGCGGGCGCACGTGAAACGGAAGTACATTAAAGAGCTCCGCGTGAACCCCGCCAAGGTGAGGCGAGGGGGGCACTGGCGCCTCTATGTTTGGGGGCCGGAGGGCGGTGTGTTAGGCTGTAGGGGCTGGTTGTTGGAGCGGCAGCTCCAGGGGTGTTATGGGTGGCGGTGAGAGCGTGTTTCACCCACACACGAACCCCACCGCGTTGGGTCCGGGAGTCCGGGAACGTAACCCTCTTCCGCAGTCGCCCCCATCCTCCCTTTCCTCCGTCCTCCGGTATCCTCCGCCTTCTCCGGGGCCCCCTTGCCGCCCGCACCATCCCCCTTCCCTCCACCTGTGCTTCAACACGACTTACGCATTGTATCGATGTATTGACGTCTCCTCTCTCCAATCCCACACCCTGAGGGGTGAGTTTCTGCGTGGCGCTCTTCTGTGTGCATGCAAGGGTGTGTGTGCACGAGGGTCTGTGCAAACATGTGGGGTTTTAGTGACTTGAGCCGGAGGCAGGGGCTGGCGAAAATGACACACGAGTGGCATCTAAGAACGTTTGTATGTATGTATTTATGTATGTATGTATGTATGTGTGGGTCCCCAGGTCCACGCGGCGGTATCGAACAGGGGCAAGGTGGGTGGCGGCGGCGGCGGCGGCGGTCAAGCGCAACTTCTTGAGCTTGTGCGGTCGCGGATAGCGGAGGTCAACGCTCAGCAGGCGGCGCAGCAGACAACGGCGGGCACAATGCTGCCGGCACCTGGCCCAGAAGCAGCGGTGGCGGAGCCCGGGGCAGCAGCAGCGGCAGATGGGAGCCCGGGGGCAGCCGCAGGTCCCAGTACGGCGGCAGGTACGGCAGCAGCGGAGGCGGAGGCGACGGAGGAGGTGGTTGCGCGGATAGGCCACGAAGAGGGGGGCGGTTTGGGGGAAGAGGGTGGCGAGGGTGGGGAAGGTCACAACGACGACGATGGTTACGGCGGCGGAGGCGGCGCTTACGGTGGCGGGTACGGCGCGTACGGTGGGTACGACGGCCACGATCAGGGAGGGTACACAGGATACGAGGACGAGTACGATGCCTATTACTGAAACGGCATGGCGCTTCTGGGTTTGTAGTGCTGCTGCTGTTGCCGCTGAGTTTATGTGTATGTGTGCGTGTGTGTGTGTGTGTGTGTGTGTGTGTGGCAAGTTCTAAAAGAAGCGAAGGTGTATGGGGGTTGGGCGCGAGGATAGTGTGTGCTGCAGGCGTGTCTGGGTCGGTTGGGTTGCCATCAGACATCACGAGAGGAGAATGTTCGGGTTTCGAGCTTTATGAGGGAACCGCCGCTGCTGTGTCGCCTATTCCGTTGCTGCGTTGCGTTCACTGGTTTGTTTTTAGAGAGAGAAGGGTTGATTTTCCTTCTTCTGCGTTTATTGTTCAAGTGTGTGTATGTATGTATGTGTGTACGTACGTATGTACGTATGCGCGCGAGGGTTATCGGATGTAGAGCAGCAGGGCAGAGTGGGCAGATGGGAGCTCCCGGGGAATGCGGCGGTGGCCGGCACCACGGGGTGTGTCTGTGTGTATGTGTGTGTACAGATGTATGCATGTATGTGTGTATTTTTGTTTCATGGAGCTGAGCCGCGAGTGGCGCGTCTCTGTGTGTGTGTGGAAAAGGGGGAATCCCTCCGATCGCTCTGTGTGTATGTATGTATGTATGTGTGTATGTGTGTGTATGTGTGCACTATCCGTTGGATTGGTGGTGGTAGCGATGATGCTGGTGATGCTTGCGGCTGCTGCTGCTGTCGGTGATGGTGTGGTGTGGTGTGTTTCCTGCGTGTCAGTGCCTGTGGTAGAATATGTCTCCCTTGCTTTTGTTGATGGAAAGGGGGGAATGGGTGCGGGTGGGAAGGAGTCCGTATTTGGCAGGTGATGTGATGGTGGTGGTGGTGGTGGATGGAGTCGAGTGTGTATGTGTGTATGTGTGTGTGGGGGAGGGCTATCTTGGCATATTACGTGACTTTACTCAAAAAGGAGAGAGTAG